AAATTGGATAATAACGGCGAGTTTGCATTTTTGCGTATTAAGTCAACAACAATGACTTCAATATCTACACATGTTCGAATATTACATGCTGCTACTAAAAAAAATAGATAATCTTTTAATATATCATTAACATATACAGAGAGGTAGAATTAACTGCCGCGAAGCTGACCTGATCCTGTTGCCTGGACTTCAATATCCGCGTATGATTCTCCAAGTTGACAGCGATAATTATGAACACACTGTGCATCAAATACAGTCAACGTTGTTTTCTGTTCATCACCTTCCACTGCATCAATGTCATATTTATCAGATGAATCTATTTGTATGTAATTTGACCCAATCTGTAGAAACCATTCCCAAGACTCGTTATCGGGAAATGGTGGTACAGCATCTGTGCCGCACTCTAACACGGCGTCAGAGCGTGCTTCGATTTTGAGGGGACTCTCTGTGATAACAATAACTGTGGGTTCGTCTACAAACAAACAGGATAAATAGTTTGTGGTAACACTAAATAATCAATTATCGGCAGAGTGTCACACTGTCTGAATGAAACAATAATCTGAATTTAATACATGCATAAGTAGGAAATGCTGTTCAACTGGTCATCCACATATCATAAAATGGTATACACATTTTTGTCGCTGATAATGAGCTTATTTAACGTTTATATAACAGCAGGACCTTGTGAACGGCCTTCCGTTCAAAAATTTACATCACAGAATCTAATTTAAATCTGATGTATTGTACTTCGTGAATTTATTTTTTTTATTTTATTTTTACTATATGTTTTTATTATTTCGTAATTGTGTTTACTATTACTACGTAAATGATATTTTTTATTACTCTCGCTATATACATGTTTACTACACATACATAACAATGTTTCAACAAGCCCACAACCTTTCTGGTTTAGTCAATCAATCGTAGACCCATACTACAGCGCACCTGGTGACGTCACTGATTAGAAACAGGTCACAGACAATTCAAATAAAATGACGGATTCTACCGATATTAACGATCGAGAGCCACACAATTTGTCTTGTTAAATGAAGCGAACATAATTTGTAATCATATTGCGTCTTAAAGGGTTTCAGTTTAATGATTATTTTGCAAGGTTACTCCGTCAGTGACGATCAAATAGACATCATAGATTTATACACACTGATCAGCTATAAATCACACCTTTCCATGA